CTCTCTCTCTCTCTCTCTCTCTCTCTCTCTCTCTCTCTTTCATTTCTCCCTCTGTTCTTCCCTCTCCCGCCCCCTCTCACTGTTTATCTCTGTCCGTCTGTCTCTCCTCCATCCCTCCTCACCCTCCCCCCTTCCATGTCTATCCCCAACACCGCGTACCCCGCTCCGCTAGTCATCCCTGTGGCTGTTCCAAGCGTTGACCTTCAAACTGTAACACTAAACGAACATAATTTTTTGTGTTTGCGTACTGTCCAAGACGACCACCCATATTGTCGAGGATAAAAGTTTTTTTCTTAGACATGTGGATGTCTGGAACAGTGTCAATATAATATACATGTAGTTTTAAAAACGCATAGGTAAATTGGGAAGTGGTTGTTTGTACAGGTGATTGTCTTGGACATGTGGCCGTTAGAGCAGGTTTGACTGTATGTTTCATTTAGACAAAGGTAGGGAAGAAACTGTGTGGGAAAGTGAGGGCTGTTGTTTATGGGTGGGTACAACTCTGTGGCCGTAACTTACGTACTGTGCAGTGTCCATAACAGTGGTTGTTCTCTCGGGGCACGCTTCCGTGCATTGGGGTCGGACAGAAAGAAATTATTATTCTACTATAATATTATTGTCATGGGAGGGGAAATGGATGTCGAAGTGTTACCACAGTTTTTGTGATCAAGTAGTATATATCTATATACAATGTATATAAATTATTCAAGAGTTGGGAGCTCAGTGGAAGAATTTGTACTACACGTGCTGTACGTGAATGTACCTCGCGGGTGTTTGGGGGGATGCCTTTGGAGGCCCTACTTCTTTTCTCTCCCTGTTTTTTTATTCTTTCAATCCGCCTTGCTTGTTTCTCAGTATAGTGACTGTGGGTGGTTGACGGGTGTTCTGGTGTGGTATGCTCCTTCTTTCCCATGACACATGTCCTTTTCTCCCCTACTTCTTCTTCTTCTTTTTTTTCCTCTCTTTTTTTTTTGTTACTCTCTTATAACACCTAATCTTCGGTACTTATATGACCTTATTGTGTTGCAAGTGCCGTAAAACTCTTACAAAAACTAAAGCATGGTGACTGTCATTTTGAGGACATGCAAGTAAGCAGTTTTTTTTATTAACGTCTACTTGAGCATCCCCCCCACCCCAAAATAAATAAATAAAATATACGTTAAAAGCGTCTTTCGCGCTCGATGTCACGCAGACCCATCTGTAGCCACACGGAATATGGAGACCCCGGGTGTGCGTAGAAGAAGTTCTGAATGAACGGCTCGAGTAGATATTTTTCCACCCGTCGACCAGAAATAGGTCATACTGTCTCTCGGAATAAACGGCAAAGAGCGACAAATCCTGCTGTTCAGAAACTTAAATAACCTGGGAGTCTCTTCCCAGTGCGTTAAGGGTATTCACGTTTTGCCTCGCCTTGCAGAGAGATGTTGAGATTAGATTTTCAAAAGAATATTTCTGAGCAACAAAAATAAATAAATAAATAAAATAAAATAAAAAATAACAAAGTTAAGTCACCGTGAACGTCTAACAATTTGAAAAATTCCTGTTCGCTTTGCCGACCTTGCATGAAAAGCATTAGATCTAAGTGCAGTAAGTTGCTTGTCGACCAGGCGTGCATATTTGGTTATAATCCCAGTTATGAT